CAAGCCCGGCCCGGGCACCCGCCCTCAGCGTCCCGGGCGCGCCCCGCGGGACCCTGCGCGGAGCCTCCCCCGAGGGCACTCCGGGGGGCGGGACCCCTGGCCGCCCCCACCCCCCGCAGAGTCTGAGGCTGCGGCCCCGCCAGCGCTGGGTGGGGACCCCGCCTCGCCCGGGGGCTGGCCGCCGCCCGCCCTGCCTGGCCTCGAGTTCAGCCCGGCGGGCGGGGCTCAGGCAGCTGCGACTTCAAGACGCGCCCCGGGATCTGGGCATCCCTGTTGCGATCTGCTGTTCTCAGCGCTGACCCCACCCCCTCTTTCCCCGCAGCTGGCACCCACCGCCTTTGCCTTCAGTAAAACCACACCAAGCAGAGTATCTTTGGATTTTTTTTTTCTGCAAAACATTCTTTTATTAAAAGAACAAGTGCTGTTTACGAACTGCCCTTCGTACAAATAACATCCGTTATACAAAGATACAAGATCCGGGTTATGCACAATTCCAGGCTTGGAGGCGGCGGGGGGCATGGCCTTTTGGGCTGAGGATATAAAGGAGGTTTTAGAAAGAATGAAAAAGGAGCCCCTGGGTTTGCAGTCTGCGGCTTCCCCTCCCTGCTCCCTAGGGAGGGTCTGCTACATGGAAACAGGCTGGGATGGAAGGGGGTGGGTGGCAGCCGGGGCTGGGGTTTCCAGTCCCAATACCCAAGTCCCTAGTCGAGCTTGGAGAAAGGAAACGAGGGCGCCCCTCGAACCCCAACTTTTCAGTAGATCAAGACAAAGCGGCTGGGAGCTAGGTGCACTTTCAATCTGTATTGGTGCCGCTGGAGGAAACCCAAGCCACTTCACTGCACAGTCCCCGAACTCCCAGTTGAAGTCACTTGGGTACCTCTCCCCACTAAGATGAGCTGGGGTACAGAAGGGCTGGGAGCAAGGTGCCCACCCCTAACTCGGGTCCACTGCATGCTAAGATGCCAGAAACCAGCAGGGGCAGCTTGTGCCTTTAAAAACCTGTCTGCGATTCCAATTTGGGAAAGTGTGGAGGTGTCCCTTTCTCAGAGCTGTCCCGGCTTGGGCTTCCCTCATTTGTCTAGCCCCTTCCTAAGAGTTGGGTGAGCACCTCCTAGAACTTAGTACAGGAAGGGGCAGGGGGGACCCTGATCGGTCTCAAGCTCAGGACACCAGGAGGCAGCAGTAGACCCAGGAGCAGGAGAGAAAAAACCCACAAACAGGAACAACAAAACAATCCTTAAAGTGTCATTCTCTACAGAGAGGATCCATCAGCTCTGAGCTAAGCCAGTGCTACATAGACACCCTCCCCGGGCACAGCTCTGCACGCACACCATGTGTCACATACACAGGGACAGACAGCCGTGTGGAGATAGTGCAGGGGAGCCAAAGCCCAGGAGACGGCAATCCCAGGGGCTGGTCCCTGCTCTGCCAGTGATCCCCTGACTGCCTAGCTTTGGCCTGTGGGGCGAGGAGCTGGCTCTAACAGCCCCTGAAGACAGGCCCCTTCCAGCGCTGTTACTCACCAAGCCTTTTAGGCACTATTGTGACCCCACAGCGGTCACAGGCCTCCTGCACCCACTCCCACGCTGAAGGCAGCCCCACACACAGTGACAGCAGTGACACTCGCATGCACTCCCGAACTACACTTCCCCTCTGCAAACCACATCCTTCCTCCCCAACAGAGGGATGCAAATCTGTCCCTCGCCCTTCCCACCCCAACAGCACTCAAAAAGAGCCTGGGGCAGGGAGAGGATGAGGTTATCACAGCTATCCCTTGGCAAGGGACCTTTCCTATCATGAAGCTCCCTCAGAAGGAAATGCCTCCACTTGTCAAGGACTGAGGCAGAGGGCCATACCAGCCACTCCCAGCTTGGCACAGCTGGAGAACACAGACTCTTGGAGATGGGAAGCCTGGGCTTTGTGGGTGGGGGTAAGCAGGTGTGCGCTGGGGTGGGGTCTCAGCTCTCAACCCCTGGTTCCCTCTCTTTCCTCAGCAGCCTGGGGGTTCACTTTCTTCCTGTCCTGCAGAAGACAGCTTCGGTGAGAGTGGGCCAGCCCGGGGCGGGGCATGGGTGGGAACAAGTGAGTCTTCTAGAACCTCTGGAGGTTACTTTTCAGTGGTTTGGGGCAGGGGGTTGAGCTTAACAGACTAAAGTGAATAAAACACTGAGTTCTGTCACTCCTTTTTGAGATTCAGCATGAATAAAAAGTGAGTATTTCTGAGGTCACCACAGCTGCCTCCCCCTTCCCCTAGCCCTTGCAAGTGCCTAAGAAATGGCCTCTGAGGAGTCCCACCCCCCTACGATCAGCTCCCTACCATCTTACAAAGTCTCCTCAACAGGAATATTAATATTATTTTCAGTATCAGAAAAAAAAAAACAGTTGAGCAGCACAGGCAAAAATATATCTGCACTACGTTTCTGTCGTTGCCAAAAATATACACATCTTCTTTTCTTTATTTAAAAAAAAAAAACAAAACAAACAAAAAACCCAACAACAAAACCCAAACAGAAACACACACAAAAAAAATCCACACGTGCAGAGAGACTGACAAAACGTGAGCTTCAGGGGGCAGGAGACGCCTCCCTGGGCCCAACCCCAGTGCAACCAAAACAGCGACACAGGCCTCCCTGCCTCCCTCCTGACTGTCCACCCAGTCTTTGCCACCAAAGGTGGGCAGGTGGGGACTCTTTCGAGGTGAGACTTGCCCATGACACCCCAGGGAAATAGGTGGTGGGTGCAGGGACAGTTGTCAGGTCAGCTTAAGTGGCTCCCTTGGTGGGTGGAGTGGAGTGGGGGCAGGCTGGTTTTCTGGCAGGGAGACTTTTGCTAAAAAAAAAAGAAAAGTGGCACTTTACACCCCTCGGTCCCTCCCCCAAACCCCGGGGCTCCCCTTGTGCCAGGGAAGAAGGACCTAGTTATCAGTGAGGGATGGGGCCCTAAGGGGCCCTGAGACCACGGGGGGGGGGGGGCCTGGGGGAGGGAAGGCAGGACTTTACCCTGATGCAAAAACCCCAGCCCCCAGCGGCTCTCCAGTACTGGAGGAGTGTTCTGGCTTCTGTTAACCATTCGTGCCCAGAGAGGGACAAAATTGGTAAGATGGGGAGGGTGCAAACAAGAGCTGGGAGCCCCTTCCCCCATGCTGCTTCCTCTGACCAATGCTCCTATCCCTGCCCTTGGCTGCCCCAAGTCCAGGGGAACAGACAGACACGCGCACACACTCTCACGCATGAGTCGGGCAGCTCCGTCCCCCCTCCCTCGGCACTCCTAAATCCAATAGTGCAAACAAGGGGTGGGGCACCGAGGAAGGCTGGGCCTCCCCCCACCTGCCCTCCCTCCCCACCACTGGAAGCCCAGGAGGTCGGGAAGGCTCCCGCTGAGTGTGACACCATCCTGCTCTAGCTTGGCTCCCTTCATCCACGGGCTTCTACAAGCTCAGCTCGAGACCCCTGGTGGGAGGGAAACAGTCCAGGCCCTTTGGCCTCTGCCCAGGCGAGGGAGAAGCTGAGGGCTGGATCAGGCCAGCCCTGCTTCCATGGGTTCCCATACAGGGACAGGCCCAGGGCCTAGCCCTCCTCCTCATCCCACTCAAGTGCCGCCCCTGGTTCCCCACTCATCTCCGTGGCAGGTCCAACCAACCCCCACTTATGTCACAGCCCACCTCCTCTGGGGACCCCACAACATTTGCTGAGGGTGGCAACTCCTAGGCAGACCTGGAGCCTGTCCTTCCTCTTAGCCTGTCACACAGGGGACAGTGCAGAAAGGGAACAGACTCCCCTCTCAGTCTCATCCTCCACAGGCGTTCCCCACACTCCCTGGACCTCAGCACGCTGGGGCCCGGGCTCTCCAGTGTCTGGGCGCAGGTGCCCGCCCCAGTGAGGACCCCTCAGGCCAGGATCTGCCCCTCCACTCGGGAGGTCAGGAGGAGTGTGGGTGGAGTTAGCCTTTTTCCTGGTTGGCTGAGGCTCCTTTGTCAGCGGTCTGGAAAGAGAGGGAGGGAGGCTGGGGCTGTGGGAGATATCTGGCCCTAACACCCAGCTGAGAACACGCCAAGAACGCCCCCTGGGAAGCCAAGGGGGCCGGCTGCTGGCGGGTGCTCACCAGGGCCAACGCAGGGGGTGGGGAATTGCCCTGTAAGAGTACTCAGCTGAGTGGCTGTGCCAGCTAAGCCCAGTGCCCTCAGAGGGAGGGCCTTCCTCGCGTTGGGCCATCCAGAAGGTCACCTTTTTCTAATTGGTCCCCTGGGAAAGTGGCCTTTCTAACTGGCCTTCCCAGAGGAAGGCTGCTTTTTAGCTGGCCCTGTCGCCACTAGTACACACTCAGCATGGCTCTTCCTTGGCCCTGTAGGAGGGCACCCGTGCAAGAGCAAGGCCCCGAGGCAGCCGCTGCCCTGACCCGGGGCTGCCTCCTTTCCCCAGAGACACAGCTGATGATATACCTTGTGACGGGCCAGCTCTGCCCAGCCCTCAAGAGGGAGACAGGAAGGCCCCGGGCCCCTTACTCACCCCTCCTTTGGGGCCACCGCCACTGCCGTCCGCCCCCGACAGGCTGAGGAAGGGGTTGGTCTGGGCAGTGAGGACCGGAGGGCCGCCTGCCGCCGCCACTGCTGCCGCTGCCGCTGCTGCGGCCATGAGATTTGTGTTGTTGCCAAGCGAGGGAGCCACCAGGGCTCCAGCAGGCAGCAGGGGTGGGGCAGACGCTGTGGGCAGGAGGCCAGGGGTGCCCGCGGACAGCAGCGGGGTAGAGCTTCCTGCCAGCAGGCTGGCCATGGGCAGCTGGGAGCCCCCGGCCATCTGCAGTCGCTGCAGCTCCCGCTTCTGCTGGATCTGCTGGATCATCTGGTAGACGACGGTCTGGTGTTCCTGCAAGAGGCCAGACTGCTCACTGGTCAGCAGTCCCTGGGGTCTCTCCTCTGCTGCCTGCCTGGCCTAGACCCCATCCTGTCACACTGCCACCATCAGGCAGGAGACCTGCGAGACACTCAGGCTGCTGCGTCTACCTTCCCACTCTGGGCCTCAGTCTCCCCATCTGGATAAGAAAATGGTCGCACAGTCAGTGTTTGCCAGCTTGGGCACTACAGGCCAAGTGCAGGAGACCTAAGATCCCTGGTCCCGCCGACTGAATCAGTTCCTCGGTTGCTAAGACAACCACAAATATCCCCAAGGGCAGTATCACCCCAAGCTGAAAAATACTAAACTAGGTTGGGCAAAGTGGCTCATCCCAGCACTTTCAGAGGTGAGGCAGAAGGACTGCTCGAGCCCAGGAGTTGGAGGCCAACCTGGGCAATACAGTAAGATTCCAGCTGTATAAAAAATAAAATAAAGATACTAAACTAGGTCAGTAGTTTCCAACTTCCCCCCACCCTTTTCTTTTCTGAGTCAGTGTGTTGCTCTGTGGTGTAGGCTGGAGTGCTGTGGTACAATCATGGTTCACCGCAGACTCAAGCTCCTGGGCTCAGGTGATCCTTCTACCTCAGTCTCCTGCACAGCTGGGACTGCAGGTATGTGCCACTAAGCCTGGCTAATTTTTTTGATTTTGTGTAGAGATGAGGGCTTGCTATGTTGCCCAGGCTGGTCTTGAGCTCCTGGGTTCCTAAAGTGCCAGGTCATCTCCTTCAGTTGTTTTTTTTTTTCGTTTTTTTTTTAGTTGGAGTTTCACTCTGTCGCCCAGACTGGAGTGCAGTGGCCGCACCCGGCCACCGCAGCCTCGACCCACTGGGCTCCGGCGATCCTTCCACCTTCCGAGTAGCCGGAATTACAGGCGCATGCTACCACGCCCGGCTGATTTTTGATTTATTGTAGAGATGAGGTCTCGCCAAGTTGCCCAGGCGGGTCTCGAACCCGCAGGCTCAGGCAATCCACTCACTTCAGCCTCCTAAAGGCGCGGGATTACAGGCTGAGCCACCGAACCCGGCATCTGCCTCATTTGTAAAAAGCAAAAACCCTTGTCTCCTAAGGCAATCTCAGCAGAACCCAACGTATGAGAGAGCCCCAGAAGAGGCTGCTCTGGCTTAGGGGGTGTCACTTGCTCAGCCCCCTCTCCACATGGACTCTGGAGTTTCCCCCTGAAGATCCTTGGGGCTAGAACCTAAATGTTCAGTAACTAACCTGCCACCCTCCAGATCCTCTCCTGAGGATGTGGCCTGAGGCCAGGACGGCACCCAGTTCCAAAGGCCATGGAACCGGGGGAGCAGTCCTTATCTCCTTGTCCACGGATGCCCACAGGGCCCAGCTCCAGGTCCACAGGCTCAATCTCAGCCTAGCCTGGAGCTTCCCCTCCCTACCTCCTGCTTCTGCGCTGTCTCTCGGGCTAGCCAGGATCCTCTGAGCTGGGCCCTTCCAGGCAGAGCTAGGGAAAAGGGTAGCCAGGGGAGGGAGGGGCGTTACCGGGGTCAGCTGCGGGGAGGCCAGGAGCTGCTGGAGTTGCTGGAGCTGCTGCTCTTGCTGTTGGAGGAGGTGTCTCTGCTGCTCGGTGAGGCTGAGGCAGGGGACAACACAAAACTATGGGGAGGCGCAGGCGAACACTCCCGCCCCCACCCCCATCTCCCAACCGCCCTCAGCCCCTGGTGAGGAGAGGGAGGGTGTGCCATCTTAGAGCACTGAGCTCCGAGGGCACAGCGGGAGGGATGCGAGTTAGACAGAAGACCTGTCCCAGAAGGAAAATCTAGAGTGGGGGACAGGAAACAGACAGATGCTTCTGTCCCTGGAGAGCTACCATCCAGAGGACACTCATGTCTAACAGTATAGGGAGTCCCTAGAGGCCAGCAGATGACTGGGACTGTATATCCTGTAAGACCATAGGGTACTTATCCTCTTAGGGGATTATGGGTGTTTGGGGGAATCCCTCCCCAAGTCAGCCCCCCACCCTGTTCCCTTCCCCAGGGCTGAGCTCTCCCTCACCTGTTCAGACAACCTGGCAGCTGCAGCGTGGGGGCCCCGCCAGCCTGGCTCAAGCCCGCAGGGTTGGGGGCAGCAGCCCCGTTCAACCCCCCCAGGAGCCCATTGAGGGGCAGGCCCCCACTGCCTGCCAGCCCCCCCAAAAGCCCCTCAGCCATGGGCATGGCCCCCAGCCCTGCTGCCCCAGGTGCCCGGCCCAACCCGTTCTGCGGCTGGGGCGGGAGCGGGGGCGGGGCCCCGGGCAGGGCCAGGGGCAGAGTGGCAGGGCTCTGCTGGAGCAGGGGCAGCGGTGGGGGCGTGCTGTGGAAGGACAGCGACGAGCTGCTGCGGCTCGGGCAGCCTGAGTGCGGGTCCTGGGGAGGGAGGGGGAAGGGAGGGGTCAGAGGGCCAGCATCGCCTTTCTGGCCCCCAGCCCAACACCCACTGGTGCTCTCACAGAGCACAGCCGCCCCCACCTCAGCCACAGGCACCCTGGAGAAAGACGAAAGGCCCAGGGATGAAGGCTGGGAACCTAAACCGTCTTCACAAATCATGTGTCCTAACCCTTCCTGGGAGCCCAGGACCCCGTCATCCTTGTCTGACAACAGACCATGATGATGCCGGTGACCAGCCAGTGAGACGGCCCGGGGTACAGCGTCTGACCTGTGCTAGCCTGTTATTCTCTCTGTATGGGTGAAGCCACTGATCCCTGAACAGGCAAGGGACTGCAGGCGAGAACACTGGCGTGAAAGGCCCCACGTCCACACTTCAGTGGCTTGGTGGCCGTGGATTCAACCCCTCTGTCCCCGCTCACTCACTCATCGCCTGGGGGTGGCAGCAGCATCTCCTCCAAAAGGTTACCGTGAAGGCTAAGCCGATGTTTAAAAAGCTCAGCACAAGGCACAGCAGAGGGCAGGGGTGCAACTAATGCTCGTTATTACTACAATTACTACTGCCCAAGCCACACGATTAGTAAACGGCCAAGAGAGAATAAGAGCCCAGTTTGCTTGATCCAGTAATAACCACAACATAACAATAGCAACTGCTACTCCAACCACTACCAATTACATACGGATTATTTTGTGTGTGGCACTATAATAAACCCTTTACAAGTACTTCTCAGAGATGCTGGCCCGAACCACTCTCTGTCCACAGAAGAATTCCTCCCCCATTCTCACAGCCCTCCATTTATTTCCATCTGAGCGTGTCTTCTGGCTGTAATAACTTATTGTTTGCTCGACTTTGGCCTGTCTTCAGGAGCAGGGCTGCCTCGGTCTGCTCACTGTTGACTTAGCCAGTGCCTGGCATTGAGGCGGCACCTTGTAAATATTACTCAGTTAAAGGAAGAATGAATGGGTCAATCCAATGCCCAGCCAATCACTTCACTGCCGGGCCTCCAACAGCTGCAGCGTAGAGACCGGACCAGGAGGACCTGGAGACCGCCCCCTCCCAGCCCTCACCCTTCACAGAGCCCACCTCGGAAGACGTGGACATCGAGTTGTCCAGGCCAAGACTGCTCTTTCCTGGAGGGCTCTTGCTGGTGCTCAAGGAGTCGGTGCTGCCGGCTGAGGGAGGGAGGGAGGGAGGGAGGTGGGGCTGAGATCAGGGCCGGGTGGGACCCTAAGGCAGGGGGTCTCTCTCCTGGGCCTACGGCCTCACCTTGGGGAGGCAGGCCATAGGGCCCGGGCACCGGGCCGTTGGCGGCAGGCAGGGCAGCGGGC